TGGATCCTTTATGTCGTCTGAACAGTTTGGCTAACATTGATCCAGGCTTTTTAGATTTTTTAAATCTTGCTAAATTCGTGAGGTTTTCAAAACTTTTAGATGCTTGAGATCGTATAGAACACGAAATAAATATACGTAAATAGTTTAAACAAATCAATGCAAATTTATTAATAATTTATTTTTTTATTAATTATCCTTTAATTTCTTTGGATCCTTCTAGATCCTCTGTCATCTGCAAACTGTGGGTAATCTAGATCCTCTAAATTCCCTACATAACGCAGAATCTCCACATCCTCTAGAGATTTTTAATTTTATAGACATTTTAGATCCTTTAAATCCATGAGATCTTTTACATCTTCTAAATTCTTGAGATCCTTCACATTTTTTAGATCTTTGAGACATTGTAGAGTCTTTAGATCATTGAGGTCTTTTTTAGATAGTCTATGCCCGCTAAAATTTTTGGACAATCTAGATCCTCGAAATATTCAAGATTCTTAAAATCTTCTAACCATTTTAGATTATCTGAATTCTTTACTTTTTTTTTAATCTTTGAGGTCCTTCACATTTTTTTATACCGTCAAGATTCTTTAAGCTTTTTACATACTTACTTTCGATCCTTCTGGATCCTTTATGTCTTCTGAACAGTTTGGCTAACATTGATCCAGACTTTTTAGATCTTTTAAATCTTGCTAGATTCGTGAGGTTTTCAAATCTTTTCCTTTAAATCAGTGAAATCTTTTATATCTTCTAAATTCTTGAGATCCCTCACATTTTTTAGATCTTTGAGACACTGTAGAGCTTTCAGATCTTTGGAGTTTTTTTAAAAACTGATTTTAGATAATCTAGATCCTCTAAATCTTCTAACTTTTATAAATCATTTGAATCCTTCGCCTCTTTTAAATCTTTGGAGTTCTTCACACTTTTTTATACCATCAGGACTCTTTAGGCTCTTTATATACCTACTTTCGATCCTTCTGGATCCTTTCTGTCTTCTAAACACTTTGGCAAACATTGATCCACACTTTTTAGATTTTTTAAATCTTGCTATATTCGTGAGGTTTTCAAAACTTTTAGATCCTTGAGATCGTATAGAACACGAAATAAATATACGTAAATAATTTAAACAAATCAATGCAAATTTATTACTAATTTTTTTTTTTAATTATCCTTTAATTTCTTTGGATCCTTCTAGATCCTCTGTCATCTGCAAACTGTGGCTAATCTAATCATCTAAATTCCCTACACAACGCAGAATCTCCACATCCTCTAGAGATTTTTAATTTTCTAGACATTTTAGATCCTTTAAATCCGTGAGATCTTTTATATCTTCTAAATTTTTGAGATCCTTCACTTTTTTTAGATATTTGAGATATTGTAGTCTTTAGATCTTTGAGGTCTTTTTTTAGATAGTCTATGCCCGCTAAAGTTTTTGGACAATCTAGATCCTCAAAATATTCAAGATACTTAAAATCTTCTAACCTTTTTAGATTGTTTGAATTCTTTACTTTTTTTTAAATCTTTGAGGTCCTTCACATTTTTTTATACCGTCAAGATTCTTTAAGCTCTTTACATACCTACTTTCGATCCTTCTGGATCCTTTATGTCTTCTGAACAGTTTGGCTAACATTGATCCAGACTTTTTAGATCTTTAAAATCTTGCTAGATTCGTGAGGTTTTCAAATCTTTTACTTTAAATCAGTGAAATCTTTTATATCTTCTAAATTCTTGAGATCCCTCACATTTTTTAGATCCTTGAGACACTGTAGAGCTTTTAGATCTTTGGAGTTTTTTAAAAAATGATTTAGATAATCTAGATCCTCTAAATCTTCTAACTTTTATAAATTATTTGAATCCTTCGCTTCTTTTAAATCTTTGGAGGTCTTCACATTTTTTTATACCATCAGGACTCTTTAGGCTCTTTATATACCTACTTTCGATCCTTCTGGATCCTTTATGTCTTCTGAACACGTTGGCAAACATTGATCCACACTTTTTAGATTTTTTAAATCTTGCTAGATTTGTGAGGTTTTCAAAACTTTTAGATCCTTGAGATCGTATAGAACACGAAATAAATATACGTAAATAGTTTCAACAAATCAATGCAAATTCATTACTAATTTATTTTTTTATTAATTATCCTTAAATTTCTTTGGATCCTTCTAGATCCTCTGTCATCTGCAGACTGTGGCTAATCTAGATCCTCTAAATTCCCTACACAACGCAGAATCTCCACATCCTCTAGAGATTTTTTATTTTCTAGACATTTTAGATCCTTTAAATCCGTGAGATCTTTTATATCTTCTAAATTCTTGAGATCCTTCACATTTTTTAGATCTTTGAGACATTGTAGAGTCTTTAGATCTTTGAGGTCTTTCTTAGATAGTCTATGCCCGCTAAAGTTTTTGGACAATCTAGATCCTCAAAATATTCAAGATTCTTAAAATCTTCTAACCTTTTTAGATTATTTGAATTCTTTACTTTTTTTTAATCTGAGGTCCTTCACATTTTTTATACCGTCAAGATTCTTTAAACTCTTTACATACTTACTTTCGATCCTTCTGGATCCTTTATGTTTTCTGAACAGTTTGGCTAACATTGATTCAGACTTTTTAGATTTTTAAATCTTGCTAGATTCGCAAGGTTCTCAAATCTTTTCCTTTAAATCAGTGAAATCTTTTATATCTTCTAAATTCTTGAGATCTTTCACATTTTTTAGATCTTTGAGACACTGTAGAGCTTTTAGATCTTTGGAGTTTTTTTAAAAAATTACTTTAGATAATCTAGAGCCTCTAAATCTTCTAACTTTTATAAATTATTTGAATCCTTCGCCTCTTTTATATCTTTGGAGTTCTTCACATTTTTTTATACCATCAGAATTCTTTACACTCTTTACGTACCTACTTTCGATCCTTCTGGATCCTTTCTGTTTTCTGAACAGTTAGATCCAGACTTTTTAGATTTTTTTAAATCTTGCTAGATTCGTGAGGTTTTCAAATCTTTTCCTTTAAATCAGTGAAATCTTTTATATCTTCTAAATTCTTGAGATCTTTCACATTTTTTAGAGCTTTGAGACACTGTAGAGCTTTTAGATCTTTGGAGTTTTTTTAAAAAATGACTTTAGATAATCTAGAGCCTCTAAATCTTCTAACTTTTATAAATTATTTGAATCCTTCGCCTCTTTTAAATCTTTGAAATTCTTCACATTTTTTTATACCATCAGGATTCTTTAGGCTCTTTACGTACCTACTTTGGATCCTTCTGGATCCTTTATGTCTTCTGAACACTTTGTCTAACATTGATCCAGACTTTTAGATTTTTTAAATCTTGCTAGATTCGTGAGGTTTTAAAATCGTTTAGATTCCTAAGATAGAACATGAAGTAAGTATACGTACATGTTTTAAACAAGTCAACGTAAATTTATTACTAATCTAGTAATTATCCTTTAAGTTCTTTGGATTCTTCTAGATCCTCTGTCAACTGCAGACTTTGGCTAATCTAGATCCTCGAAATTCCCTACACAATGCAGAATCTCCACATCCTCTGGAGCCTTTTAATTTTCCAGACATTTAAGATCCTTTAAAGCCGTGAAATCTTCTAAATTCTTGAAATCTCTCACATTTTTTAGATCTTTGAAATATTTTTAAAGACTTTAGTCAATCTATACCCTCTAAATCTGCTAAGTTTTTTAGATGGTTTGAATCCTTCACTTCTTTAGGCTCTTTACGTACCTACCTTGGATCCTTCTGGATCCTTGATTTCTTTTGAACAGTTTGGCTGACATTGATCCAGACTTTTTAGATTCTTTAAATCTTGTTAGATTCGTGGTTTTCAAATCTTTTAGATCCCTGAGATCGTATAGAACATGGAATATATGTAAGTAATTTATACAAGTCAACGTAAAATTATTACTAAAAAGGTTCGAGACTATCTAGAATAAAGATCCTTTAGGTTTTTTGGATCCTTCTAGATCCTCTGTCACCTGAAGACTAGATCTAGATTCTCTAAATTCCCTGGAAAGTCCGTAATCCCCAAATACTCGAGATCCCTTAATCTTTTAGTCTTTAAATCCTTAAGATTTTTTAGATCCGTAGCCTTTCACGGATTTTTAAATTTTTGAAAACCTTCACATTTTTAGATTCTTGAAACTTTTTGCATTATTTAAATCTTTCACATCATTTAAATTTTTGAGACCCTTCACGTTTTTTAGATCACTGAGATTCTATTAGGATTCTGTATAGCCTATAAATCCTTTAGATACTTCACCTTATTGGAAACCCCCATATCCTCTAAAGAGTTTGGCTAACCTTGATCTCTAGATTTTTAGATCCCCGAAATAATGTACAACATGATAAAAAGATTTAAAACAAAGCTCTTTAGATCTTTCTAGATCCTCTATGTTATCTGAAGACTTTAAATAATCTAATTCCCTACATAACAAATCCTCTAACTCGTTTACATCTTCTAGACACATAAGATTCTTTAAATTCTTCAGACTCTTGATAATTTTGAGGTCCTGTTAAGCTTTTAAATCCTTGCGGTCATTTGAATCTTTCTAGATACCCTAAATCCTCTAGATTATTGTTTTATCCAAACCCTCTAGATCCTTTAAATCCTTCAAATTATATATTTTTAGATCATTCAAGTCTTTTGGGTCTTACATATTTTGTTTAACTTATAGGGGTTATAAAAAATCAAATTCTGTCTAATATAGAATTAAAAAATAGGTTCACTAATTGCACATTTTTGACAAATTTATATTTACAACAAAATTTTGCGATGACGTCATCACATTTTGCAGTGGATAACAATCAGTTGGAGAATACTAGTCGGAGATTACTTGTCTCATAAAATCGCCAACTTACAGACAAAAACGGGAAACAAGGGTCAAAATAATAACGATCTGATGATTTGGAACTACTTTATTCAGGGTTACTTACCTGCAGTGCGAAAAAAAAATTACTGCTTCGAATTAATCACCAAATTGTCATGCATCTGTCATCAGCACTGTCTCACATTTAAATTTTTCGTGTACATTTCAACCAAAATCCTCAGTATGGAACACGTGTGCCCCACAGATGAGCGGCGTGAGTATTTTATCAATTCCCATAATGCATTTTCAATCACCGAACTCAACCAGTCTAATCCCAATGCAACTTCGTCTAGCTACTAGCCGAAGACATACCTACACGTACCGTCTCACCCACAGCACTCCCAAATTTTCTCCACATAGCTAAATAACCAAAAATGCACACTTCGTCACCATTTCCACTTCAGCAAATCCGACGGAGATGCAGTCGCCCATCCAGTTTGAGGCAGACAGCCCCAGGAAACATTTCACGGAGCTTTATTTCACCGGCTACAACAACTTCTACGACGCCACGGTAACGTACACCGAGCAAGCAAGTAAAAATTTTGACGTGACTGAGTACCAATAATGATCAAAATTTCAGTTAGGGTGGCCCTAACGGGTCTGAAAAAACCACCGACGGTGTGTGGGGGTGGACTCGTCACTGAGTACGTCCTAGACGCGATTGAGTTCCGCTGGGACGCCGAACACATAATGGACGACAAAAGGTACCAGACCTACTAAAAGTACTAAAAATAATCAGGTGTGATAGGTACCCCTTGGAAGCCCAAATGATTCACTACGCCAGACGGTACGAAAACTACGACACCGCTCTTAAGTACAAAGACGGGATCGCTATTTTCAGCACGTTTTTTATAGTAAGTGGTACCATAGTAGAATCGTGTTTAACCCTGATTTAGGTGACCAAAACGCCGAATGACGCTTTCGAGAACCTGATCCAAGCGATTCCTGTCTGTGAAATAAAAATTCTCACTCCTGTGGACTTGCAGCAGGAAATTGTGCCTCGTTTTTTCTTGCCTCCTAAAATTGGCAAGTACTACCGGTACTCCGGGTCTTTAACCACCCCCTGCTTTAACGAAAGCGTGATCTGGACGGTATTTTCCGAACCCTCATACCTATCCAACGACCAGGTAAATATTGTCGTTTGAAATTCCAAAATCGTGAATTCGTGTTCACTAGTTGGAAGACTTCACCAAGAAGTGGTCGGAGCTTAATAAGCTTCAAACCACGAACTGCCGAGAGCTGCAGAATATTAATTCCCGAAATGTATATCTTAGCGCGATCTAGCGCCATGGGTGCGGGAGAAGGTAAGAAAACACCTTCCGACATTTATTGCATTTTTTTTTTAATTAATACAGTGCGAACATCACAATGTTTAAACAATATTAAAACGAGCGCTTGAAGTATAAAAATACAAAATATAACGAATACTTATTTTATAAATACATTCAGTACAATACTATTCGTTACACAACACTTGGAATCTACAAACACGCACATGACACTAAGTATACTACGAATTATGATACTGATACAATGAAAGTCACAGAGAAAATTTTCACATCGTCTTAAGATTCGTAGCAAATGCACACCAAAGAACGAAGAAGGATATCGAAAGTGAGTTAATAAAGAGTGAGTTCTCATTGGTCTCGTAATACTTTGGACCCTGCACAACTGTGTCTTAAAATTATATAAAAAAAAAAAAAACGAAAGACGGCACGAAATTTAACGAATGGAATGATTGCGATCGACAGGTTCGATGTATTAATCGTGCACAAACTACAAGAATAAAGTCAGTCTGTAAATTATATTTTTATATTTCACTTGTACTCTAACAATATTTGTATACTAATAAAATTTTACGAGACATTTTTGGTCGGTTTTTCATTCATTCAATTTTCTTCTATTTTTTTTTTAATACTTATTTAAATTCGTTGCACAGTTGACTTATAGTCTGGGTTTACAGGCCGGCTAGATTTTAAAGTTGTAAAATTTTATTAGCATACAAAATATCTTAAAAGTTATTTTCCAGACTTTGATTTTCTGACGGTCGTTTATTTCATTGAAAATGGATTTTTAACGGAGATATTTTGAAACCGTCGAAAAAACAAAGTCAAAAAACGCTAAAAATACTGTTAAAACATCAATTAGAAAAAACGTCATTAGTACGTCAGTGTTACACCAAGTGACTTATTTTCCTAATAAAAAATTATAATATTGACAATTATTACGGGGTTTCAGAAACATCAATTCAGATGTGATTGATTAGTTTTAATTAATTTTACTCCATCGGCACTGGCAGTCGAAAAAATTTTGATTCAGACTTGGCCACAACTAACGCACGAGTCAGTAATTCGTTCAAAGCCAACTCTGAACCAATTTTTTTTCGACGTGGTTGTGATCTAGCCATCCTTGGACGCAAAATCGTCTACTAATCTCTTTTAGGCCGAAATTGACGCGATTATAGGCTTTAGAGGCGACCGAATCCATCGAGAACGGTTTCCACATCCAGTTTTCGTTCTTATTGACAAACGACGAATACGAAACAAGAATCGATTTTTAAACGACTAGGGTGGCCAGTCATTAAGGATGATTTTCACTCATACCACAAACTGTCACTAATTGGTATTCTCTCAAAGCAGTGTAAATTGTGACCTGAATGTGGAGCGAGAGCACGATTTTATACCAAAGGATGACCACACGATATACAGGGTGAGTCACTAAGCGACATCTCATTAATTGCTAGAAATAGAAACTCTAGAACTATACGGAGGGTTCTGTTTTTAAATTAGTTTTTTTATGAAACAACATATCTTTACATATTTTAGTATTTTAGAAAGGTAAAACAGTTGAAAAATTCTTTTTTAATTAATACACTTATTTAAGAACATATTTCATATGGTAATTTCTCGTGGAAAAATAAGGATTTTACAATTAAGCTCCGCCCCTCGGCTTACAAGGAATAAAAAAATCATCAGAATTGAGATAGGGCGGGTGGGCGGAGCTTATATTTTGTCTTTTTGTTCTTAAAATCCATAGCCATCTTTTCACAACAAGACACTTAAACATGGTCAAAATGGTCCGGTTTTGCAAGGAAATATGGATTTTGCAATTATGGGGCGGAGCCCAATGGCAAAAATGTATTTTCTTATACAAATTTCACATTTTAAACATGCTTCATGTTCTGAAAAGAAGTCTTCACATATTAAAACAAAGAGGCAAAATGTATGCCCGCCCACCCGCCCTATCTCAATTGTGATGATTTTTTTTATTCGTCGTGAATCAATGGGGGCGGAGCTTACCTGTAAACTACCTATTTCTTTACTAGAAATTAAAAACATGTTTTTGAGTATGTTGTTCCAAGAATACTACGTACATCAAGAAAAAAAGGAAAAATATAAACCCCACCCACGCGCCCCATCTCAACTGTGACGATTTTTTGTATTCCTAGAAACTTAATACACGTTTAAAATGGTAAACTTTTGTAAGGAAATATGGACCTGGCAATTAGGCTCCGCCCCTAGGTTTGTCAACGAATAAAAACTTCAATACTATTTAGATCAGGGCAGGTATGGGAGGGGCTTTAATTTTTTCTTAATATACATAGTTTTTTTTGAACACGATACTCAAAAACATGTTTTTAATTTCTCGCAGACAAATAAGGATTTTGCAGTTAAGCTCCGCCCCCTTGGCTCACGACGAATAAAAAAAAATCATTACAATTGAGACAGGGTGGGTGGGCGGGGCTTATATTTTGCCTATTTTTTTCTTAATATACATAGCCATCTTTTCACAACAAGAAACTTAAAACATAGTTAAAATGGTACATTTTTGCAAGGAAATATAGATGTTGCAATTATGGGGCGGAGTCTAATTGCCAAATCGATATTTCCTTATATAAACTTTACATTTTAAAGATATTTTAAGTTTCATGTTGTGAAAAGAAGTCTAGACATATTAAAACAAAAAGGCAAAATATAAACCCCGCCCACCCACCCCATCTCAATTCTGATGATTTTTTTATTCTTGGAAACCTAAAACATATTTAAAATGATAAATTCTTCTAGACAAGTCTGGATCTTGCAATTAAGCCCCGCCCCTCGACCTCACAACGAATGAAAAATTCATCACGATTGAGAATTGAGGTCGGGGCGGGTAACGGTTTCTTAATATACATAGTATTTTTTGAACAACCCAATACTGAAAATGCTTTTAATTTCTCAAATAATGATTTTGCAGTTAAACTTCGTCTCCTTGGCTCACGACGAATAAAAAAAATCATTACAATTGAGACAGGGTGGGTGGGCGGGGCTTATATTTTGCCTTTTTTTTAATATACATTGCCATCTTTTCACAACAACTAACTTAAAACATGGTAAAAATTATAGATTTTTGCAAGGAAATATGGATTTTGCAATTATGGGGCGGAGCCTAATTGTAAAATCGATATTTCCTTATACAAATTTTACATTTTAAACATATTTTAAGTTTCATATGGCTAAAAGAAGTCTACACATATTAAAACAAAAAGACAAAATGTAAGCCCGCCCACCCGCCCTATCTTAATTGTGATTTTTTTTTATTCGTCGTGAATCAATGGGGGCGGAGCTTAACTGTAAAATACTTATTTCTTTCAAAGAAATTAAAAATATATTTTGAGGATCGTATTGTTCAAACAATACTATGGACATTAGGAAAAAAGAGGCAAAATATAAACCCCGCCCACCCACCCCATCTCTATTCTGATGATTTTCTTTATTCTTTAAAACTTAAGACAAATATAAAATGGTAAATTCTTCTAAACAAATATGGATCTTGCCATTAAGCCCCGCCCCTCGACCTCACAACGAATTAAAAGTATGGGTGGGGCCTAATTTTTGGCTTTATTTTTCTTGATATACATGGTTTACTTTGAACGACTGAAAATGCTTTTAATTTCTCGTAGAGAAATAAGAATTTTGCAGTTAAGCTCCGCCCCCTTGACTCACGACGAATAAAAAAAATCATCACAATTGAGACAGGGTGGGTGGGTGGGGCTTATATTTTGCTTTTTTTTTTCTTAAAATATATAGCCATCTTATCACAACAAGAAACTTAAAACGGTTAAAATGGTACATTTTTGCAAAATCAATATTTCCTTATACAAACTTGACATTTTAAAGATATTTTAAGTTTCATGTTGTGAAAAGAAGTCTAGACATATTAAAACAAAAAGGCAAAATATAAATCCCGCCCACCCACCCCATCTCAATTCTGATGATTTTTTTATTCTTGGAAACCTAAAACATATTTAAAATGATAAATTCTTCTAGACAAGTCTGGATCTTGCAATTAAGCCCCGCCCCTCGACCTCACAACGAATGAAAAATTCATCACGATTGAGAATTGAGGTCGGGGCGGGTAACGGTTTCTTAATATACATAGTATTTTTTGAACAACCCAATACTGAAAACGCTTTTAATTTCTCAAATAATGATTTTGCAGTTAACCTTCGTCTCCTTGGCTCACGACGAATAAAAAAAATCATTACAATTGAGACAGGGTGGGTGGGCGGGGCTTATATTTTGCCTTTTTTTTAATATACATTGCCATCTTTTCACAACAACTAACTTAAAACATGGTAAAAATTATAGATTTTTGCAAGGAAATATGGATTTTGCAATTATGGGGCGGAGCCTAATTGTAAAATCGATATTTCCTTATACAAATTTTACATTTTAAACATATTTTAAGTTTCATATGGCTAAAAGAAGTCTACACATATTAAAACAAAAAGACAAAATGTAAGCCCGCCCACCCGCCCTATCTTAATTGTGATTTTTTTTATTCGTCGTGAATCAATGGGGGCGGAGCTTAACTGTAAAACACTTATTTCTTTACAAGAAATTAAAAACATATTTTGAAGATCGTATTGTTCAAACAATACTATGTACATTAAGAAAAAAAAGGCAAAATATAAACCCCGCCCACCCACCCGATCTCTATTCTGATGATTTTCTTTATTCTTAAAAACTTAAGACAAATATAAAATGGTAAATTCTTCTAGACAAATATGGATCTTGCCATTAAGCCCCGCCCCTCGACCTCACAACGAATTAAAAGTATGGGTGGGGCCTAATCTTTGGGTTTATTTTTCTTGATATATGTACATGGTTTACTTTGAACAACTGAAAATGCTTTTAATTTCTCGTAGAGAAATAAGAATTTTGCAGTTAAGCTCCGCCCGCCCCCTTGACTCACGACGAATAAAAAAAATCATCACAATTGAGACAGGGTGGGTGGGCGGGGTTTATATTTTGCCTTTTTTTCCTAATATACATAGCCATCTTTTCACAACAAAAAACTTAAAACATAGTTAAAATGGTACATTTTTGCAAGGAAATATAGATGTTGCAATTATGGGGCGGAGTCTAATTGCCAAATCGATATTTCCTTATACAAACTTTACATTTTACCCGCCCACCCGCCCTATCTCATTTGTGACGATTTTTTTATTCGCCGTGTAGCAATGGGGGCGGAGCTTAACTGTAAAATACTTATTTCTTTACAAGAAATTAATAACATATTTTGAGGATCGTATTGTTCAAACAATACTATGTACATTTAGAAAAAAAAAGGCAAAATATAAACCCCGCCCACCCACCCCATCTCTATCCTGATGATTTTTTTAATTCTTTGAAACCTAAAACATGTTTAAAATGGTAAATTCTTCTAGACAAATATGGATCTTGCCATTAAGCCCCGCCCCTCGACCTCACAACGAATTAAAAGTATGGGTGGGGCCTAATCTTTGGCTTGATTTTTCTTGATATACATGGTTTACTTTGAACAACTGAAAATGCTTTTAATTTCTCGTAGAGAAATAAGGATTTTGCAGTTAAGCTCCGCCCCCTTGACTCACGACGAATAAAAAAAAATCATCACAATTGAGACGGGGTGGGTGGGCGGGGCTTATATTTTGCCTTGTTTTCTTATTATGTGTAAACTTATTTCGGCAACAAGAAACTTAAAACATGTCCAAAATTGTAAATTTTTATTGCAATGAACTTAAATCCTCCACTTTTTTGTCATACACAGAGTGTCTATAGAAATATTTTAATTATTAAAATTTTCAAAAATCTATATTTTAGTTTTTTCAAACAGAACACCTATATTTTATTACTGATCATCTTATTCTATTTTTTGGTCTCTTTCTTTTTGCTGAGTATTTTCTATATTTAAATTTTACAGTTACGACTATGCTTTACTTTTTTAAGAGACACGTGAACATATTAGAAGACTGAGGACAAAAAATCGAGTATGATACAGTAATGAAATACACGGTGTTCCATTTGAAAAAGCTGAAATATCCAAAATTGAAAATTGTGAAGTTTTAGATTTTTTTATAAACACTTTGTACAAAGTGTTCTTCCACAAAATATTATAAGACAAAAAACTCAAGAAAATTGCCTTGAAAACAGGACACTTGTATAGTTCTAATAACTGATGAGATATCGAGCGCTCTGTGACGCACCCTGTATATTGTTTGCAACGTAAACATTAAATATCGCAGCGCCTCATTTCGTTAACGCAACATAATATCGAACTAAAGTGGTGCTTACACGTCTGAAGTCCACTTGAGAAATTTTTTTCGTACAACTAAACTATGGCGATTCTTAAATCCGCAACGCCATGAATGTGCTAGACAAAGACAACGATATAAAATGTTATTTATGTCAACTGTCTTTGTTTACTGCATGCGTGACAACGCACGTCGTTATTTACACCATATGAAGACCTTAAATATAAATCATAAGTTAGAATAGCGTTTACAATACTTTGCGTAGATGAATTAAAATTTATTACTTAAATCATATCAGAGGCTGCTGCAAATATTGCGTTTGAACTAAATCACTGAACTGCATCGTCATTACGTTATTGGCGTTCTGTATCAAGGTTTGGTGGCCTGGTAATGACGTTTGGAAATACGGAACGATCATCCCTACAGAAGTATTACTAGTCCCTGTAATAACTCCGTTCCCTTTAAAAATTGTCATTTTACTTGATATTCGTTACAAAAAAAAAAAAAAACTTGTCACTCACCTGCAAGAAATTCAATCTGTTGGGGTATCACAAACTTGTCATCAGTCAACGGAAAATTCAAAAGTCCCTGCTGAAGCAACAACTCCTCGTTCTTACTCAGCGTAATATCCGCCACCAGCTGCTCGGTGGAATCCGCATCAGCCGCCGCCTGCTGCGTCTCATCCTTGGGTACTTTCGGTCCTAAATTCTCTCCAGTCTTATGGTCGACTTTGTGTCTTCGCCTCGTGTGCTTCAGCCAATTCGGGTAATTCGTGAACGTCCGCTCGCAGTACTTGCATTTGTACGGTCGTTCGCCCGTGTGGATGTTATAGTGTTGCTGAAACCAAGCCTTATTTACCCAGCCACGAAGCGCCGCAAGCTCACCTTCAGTTTAGTGCTGCTCAGGAACCCCTTGCTACAGTAACTACAAACGAATGGTCGAGCCGCCGCGTGAACTAAACTATGGACTTTCAAGCAGCGTTCAGTCTTGTACATTTTTTGGCATACATCACATTTGAAGGGCCTTTGATCGCTGTGGAAACTGTAATGCCGTGCCAGGTGGGATTTCTCTGCGAAACTAGGGAGGCGGTTACGGTTTGCGGGGTTTATGGATGAGGGCTTACGTTTTTCCGCATTTATCACAACCGTGCGGTTTGTCGCCAGTGTGCTGCTTCACGTGCTGTTGCATGTTCACTTTTTGGGTGAACGTCTTGCCGCACACGTCGCACATGAACCGCCGGCCCAGGCGGTGGACGTTCATGTGGGACGTCAGGCCGCCGCGAGTGTGCAATCTAAAACGATACGATTTAGTTTTTACTTAAAAAATAAAAATAAAAAAAGAGAATTTGGTAATAAACGAGTGTCTAACGTGATAAAGAAAATTAGACCGCAAAATATTTAACATAAAATTGTGTTTAAATTCTACGAGGAAGAGGCGAATATGAAAGTCTGTAGCTATTGCTATTGTAAAAATTGGTCTAAAGAGTTTAGACAGTACTTCCCTCGCTGTCGGAAACTTGACGACTGCATGCCTATTGTGTTTTTTTCTCATTACATTTTTGTAGTGGGAATTTAAAAAAAATTGCGATGACGTCATCAACATTTTTGCAAGGACACGTATATCAGTTGGGATAGATGTAGTGTAATACTAAGAATAAAATTATTGTGTTCCCAAATTTTCGGGAAAATGAATTGGATCGTTTTGAATATTGATTTTTTATAATCAATAAAATAACGAAACAATTTACTCACGTATACGGCAACTGAAAATCGTTTATGTATAAACATTCTTAATTTAAGATGACAAGCGTAACAGCATACGTGCATGAGCGTCAAACAGAGAAACTGTAAACAAAACGACCATCGGTTTTATTGCTTCGACTTCCGCTTATTATATAAAACATTGGGTTTTATGTTAATTCTTGACGGTGAAATTCACAATTGGTTGATTATAAACATGTCTATTTCACATTCGCGGAACCAAGTGAACGAATAAAACAAATGCAGGTCTGTAATGTTAAAGTCGATGTAAATAAGCGTGCTACCCTTATGTTTCAACCGAGTTTTTCCTTTAACAAATTTTGTATCTACCAAATTGGGTTGGTTGGGGTGTAATACTAATAATAAGTGTTGCCTTTAATTTAATCAATAAAATAAATTGACTTCATTAATTTTTTTGAACCACCTCTTAAGAAAATCTAAAAAATATGAATGGAATGATAAATCACAAGTACAAACTCATCATATTTTTTGCATTTTAGATAGGATTTATTCAGCAAAATTTAAGGGTGACGTCATCAATTTTTTTAGGAGGGATGAACAAATACATTTTGAACAAAAGTTTACCATGCTTATAATAACTTTAAAATATTCCCAAGATTTCAAAGCATTCGGTTTTGTAATTCTTGATTAAATCGATAAAATAAATTCACGCCTTCATTAATTTTTTTGAGTCACCCTGCATATGCAAATCCAAAAATATGAATGGAAAGATAAATCACAAGTATAGATTCAGCATATTTTGTACATTTTAGATACGATTTATTCGGCAAACTTTTGAGCTGACGTCATCAGTTTTTTGTAGAAGACAAACAAATATATTTACTAAAAATTTATTATGCTCTTTATAACCTTAAAACATCTGCAAGATTTCAAAGCATTCGGTTTTGTAGTTCCTGATTAAATCAATAAAATAAATTTACGCATTCATTAATTTTTTTGAGTCACCCTGTATATGCAAATCGAAAAAATTTGAATGGAATGATAAATCACAAGAAGATACTCACCATATTTTGTACATTTTAGATAGGATTTATTCAGCAAAATTTTGTGGTGACGTCATACATTTTTTAGGGGGGACGACCAAATACATTTTGATCAAAAATTTACCATGCTTATGATAATTTTAAAATATCTTCAAGATTTAGAAGCATTCGGTTTTGTAGTTCCTGATTAAATCAGTAAAATAAATTTACGCTTTCATTTATTTTTTTGAATCACCCTGTATATGCAAATCCAAAAAATATGAATGGAGTGATAGATCACAAGTACAGACTGATCATAATTTGTACATTTTAGATATGATTTATTAGGCAAATTTTCGAGCTGACGTCATCAAATTTTTGGAGGGGATAAGCAAATATATTTTGACTAAACATTTATTATGCTCTTTATAACCTTAAAACATCTGCAAGATGTCAGAGCATTCCGTTTTGTAGTTCCTGATTAAATCAATAAAATATATTTACGCATTCATTAATTTTTTTGAGTCACCCTGTATATGCAAATCCAAAAAATATGAATTGAGTGATAAATGACAAGTACAGACTCATCATATTTTGTACATTTTGGATATGACTTTTCGGCAAACTTTCGAGCTGACGTCATCAAGTTTTTGGAGGCGATAAGCAAATATATTTTGACTAAACATTTATTATGCTCTTTATGACCTTAAAACATCTGCAAGATTTCAGAGCATTCGGTTTTGTAGATCCTGATTAAATCAATAAAATATATTTACGCATTCATTAATTTTTTTGAGTCACCCTGTATATGCAAATCCAAAAAATATGAATGGAGTGATCAGTGCCGAAACCAAAGAATATTTAGGTATAGGCGAACCTTGCGTTATGCCCCCCCCCCCCCCCCCCCCCCCCCAATTTTACAGAACACTTTTATTTATATTTTTTAAGTATGCAAAACAGATACTATGATAAAATATAAAAAAAAGAAAAAAAATCGAGATTATACATGCAGGTATATAATATGTATAAATCTATAAATATTATATAAGTTCAAAATAAAATGAACATTCAAAAACCTGTCGCACCGGTTACAGGTTTCTGAGCTTCCGTTCAAAAAAAAAAAAATTAATATGACATAATTCTTAGTATAGTTTTGCAAATTTCATTCTACCCCATATAATTTTATTGACGATAACGAGACGGACAGTAGTACAATGGTAAGAAATATTTATGGCTCACACCAGTTCACTCGAATTTGTCTGAGAACATTTGGCAGGTAGTTATACTCATAAAATAATGGTCATTTCCGTTCATAAGTAACGATGGTCCCTGCTAGGACCTGGATTATTCTGGTTTCCATCATCTGGGGATAACCGGCACCCGACAACTTAAGTTGTAAATATCTCTTGCTATTGTACTACTGTCCGTCTCGTTATTGCCAATAAAATTTTATAGGGTACAATGAAATTTCCAAAACTATACAACATAACTTTTGGACGAATTTGGCGCCCCTTGTCGTTGGCGCCCCTAGGCAAGGGCCTACTTGGCCTATAGCTAGTTTCGGCACTGGGAGTGATAGATCTGCAAGATTTCAAAGCATTCGGTTTTGTAGTTCCTGAGTAAATCAGTAAAATAAATTTTGCGCATTCATTAATTTTTTTGAGTCACCCTGTATATGCAAATCCAAAAAATATGAATGGAGTGATATATCACAAGTACAGACGCATCATATTTTGTACATTTTAGATAGGATTTATTCGGCAAACTTTTGAGCTGACGTCATCAAGTTTTTGGAGGGGATAACCAAATATATTTTGACTAAAGATTTATGATGCTCTTTATAGACTTAAAACATCTGCAACATTTCAAAACATTCGGGTTAGCAGATTCAAAATTAAATTGCAAAGTGTTGTTTTATAAGTTTGATTTTTTTTTCCAAAAATCTGGACGTTTTGGGTAAAAACTGAATTCGGAGTCGTGAACTACATGTGTAGGACTATGTTATTTTATACAATTTAAGACCCATTTCCTATGTACAATTTTGAAGTGACGTCATCGCATTAGTGGTGGGGATGATTAGACAAATTTTGGTTAGCGTTTTACCATCTACATGATATTCCTAATATAAGTACAAAATTTCACAACAATCGGTCCAGTACTTTCGGAGATTATCTGTCTAATAAAAATCCGGGACGGCAGACAGACGGACAGACAGACGGAAATGGGATACCTATTTCTTCGTCTTCTAAGGGTCATGAAAGATCGAGAAAACGTATAAGTAGAGAGTCGGCCGACAGACTCCATTACAATACTTCCTTTGCTTACGCTCGGGAAGTAAAAAGGGTATCATAGTCGACTAACTATATTTTATTTGTTGATGTTTAATTGTTTTTAACAAATCTGTTGTCAATTAACCGCCATTTAATCCAATTCTACACAAAATGGTGGTTAATTAACAATAAACCTATTAAAAAATATTCGTAAGTATGTAAAGGATCAAATTTCTCTGAAAATATAGCCAGTCGGCTAAAAAAAGTTAAGTTTCCTCGCCTCTGAAGCACAAACAAACACAGCGATTTCTTAGATATACGATGATAAAATTCGATTTTGCAAATTTATTTAAATTAACAGGAAAGATGTTTCTTCGGATTAGGCGATTACATAAATGTCACACAAATGAAAGAAGTATTAATAAAATTAAATATGCATTTGTATAAATAACGTAGACACAAAGCTACTTGGCAAGGTGCCGAAGATCTGCTTTATTTTTCAAATTTTAATGTGTCTGACATTAAACTGTCATAATTTACTGGCTTATATTTATATAGTTATTAATATGACAGGTTTGGCTATTTATTTTTCCTAATCTTACACCATAACCGAAGTATGTCACGCTTGTAGTTCAAGTTCAACGTATAGTGTAAAAATAGAAAGCTGGGTTAGAATCCTTACGAAAATTAGTTACAACGGACGAAAACATTAATTTTTCCAAAATTTTTTCGTTCGTGGGTGGGGATAAATATAGCTGACACAATATAACACTGACCGAAACATCACTTGAGTGTCCCCAAATTTCGAGAAAATTTATGCTCGGTTTTAAAATAATCCAAAATAATGAAGATTTATTCAGTTTGTAATTTAAATAACGATCGGCAATTTTTTTTCAAGGGGAGGTACAATGAACAAATAACTTATGTTTAATGTTTCCTTATTTCTAAATAAATGTTAATATTGTCTCGAAATTTGGACCAGATCTGCCAACAATTTCCAAGTCCTATTTTTTTTTCCAGGTATTTAAAAAATTTAAACCAACATTTTATAATTTTCTACAACCGACAAAAAAAATATCAAATGAAATTATAACAACACATTCCTCCACCACGATGATGTTTTCTACTAAATTCATTCAATGAAGATCAAAATTAAAGTTTATTTATACAGCGTGGTGAAAAATTTGTATACAAAATTCTTAATCGCTTTATAATCATGAAAAAACTTAATTGATTTAGACCAAAAAAAGCGTATTATTTTATCTATATATCTCTGAG